CCCAAGTTTCCAAAATCAACAAGTTGTGCAACAACATATATAGCAACATGTATATACAAGATAATCAACTATCTACCACGCACAACCAAATTTGGAAACACATACAATACATGCTCTAAGTCCACAACTACTATGGCATGAAAGATGTCAAGATCAAAGTGTGTAACTCATTACACAAGGCAACAATATAATCCATAAGGAGAACATGCTCTCATGAATATAAATATAACAATAATGTTATCCTATGCTCAAAACATAACTAAGTGATATACAACAAGTCCAAGTCCATGATTTGAATATAGAAACAACTTCTAAAACACAATTAGATCCATAGAGCCATTAGATAGAATTTAATTAAACAAAAATAATTAAATTCTCTAGATTTCAAATCAAATTCAAATAACCTCAAATTTTTATATGTTAAACAACATAGCATGCTCATTACATATATCAAATCAAAAGAGCAAAATGAGCAAGACATCATCATGTAGAATTTAATTAATTTAAATTAATTAAATCTCTAATTTTCAAAAGTCATTCAAATGACCCCAAATTAATATATATTAAGCACTAAGTCATGGTCACACCATATCTTAAGTTTAAAATGGAATACAAGTAAAACACAATTTTCTAGAATTTAAATTAAATTAATTCATTTAATCTCTAGATTTGAAAACTCATCTAAATCATCTCAAATTAATATATACCAAAGATCAAGCTATGGCTATGCCATAAACCAAGTCTAAAATGAGTTATAAGCAACTATGATACATTATTTATTTCTCAAATTAACAAAAAAAACATGCTTACAACTTATATATTCATACAAAAGCAAATAAAGCCACTTAGAAAATAAATTATAACACCCCCTACCTCACAAGAGGATTGTTCCTCTTGAATCCAAGGCTAGTAGTCACAAAATGGTAAACCCTTCTAGGGTTATGAAGAGGAAGATAAGGGGAACAAAAAGTATTCCCAAGGTCAAGCTTGGAAATCAATAGAAGGCCCTCAAAATCAAGGTCAAAGCTTAAGGCTTCAAGCTCCATCCATGGAGGCTAGGGTTTTCTTTACTAGAGAGGGAGGAGATAGAAATTAAGTGTGATAGAAAGTGAATGGAGGAAATAGAAATTCTCCACTCACTATATGGTCTTACACCAAGGTCAACACACACAAGTATTGGTCAATTGCACAAAAACCCCTCTTTAAAACCATAATCCAAAAGTGGCCCAAAAATAATTGCAAGACTTAATTTAGAGCGTGCACTTGTCACTCATCCAAGCATCCATTGTAGGCTTAATCCTAAGCCTACACTTGTCAACCATCCAAGCTAACAAGTGCACCAATCTTAGGTCAACAAGTGGATGAATCTCCACCCTCCATGTGTCATCATCCAAGGCATCAAAGTGTCCCCACACAAATGTCAACAAGTGGACCAATGAGAGTGTGACACTTGTCACACTTTCCAAAAATTGCAAAAAGGTCCTTTTCCAAAATATCTTCCAAATTAAATTGCAAAATGGCCCCTAAGACGAAACACAATTACTTTATTTAATTACATTAAAAATCCCATAAGTTAAGAATATTTACAAAAAGATTATGCATTCATACCCTTTACAAGAAAAGTAAACACTTAGCATGTTTTTCTACAAAACTAAAAATACACATAGTATGGAATTTAAATATCGTGGATGCATGCAAAACTAGAATCAAATCCAAACACGAAAAGTGAGGTTGTGCCAACAAAGTGACAAACAGGAAAAAGACGAAAAGTGAATAGTGTCACAAAAGTGAAAATGACTCGATCCTCAAAGGAAGTCAATAATCCAAGGAAAAGAGTTTCAGAAACCATTCTCAAGTACTCGAGATGACACCAAGAAATGAAAAACTGAACTCAGAAAAGAAAAGACAATGGAAAAAACATTTATCCGAAAAATTTGAGGAAAAAGGAAAAGAAGGAAAATGACCGGGTCATTACACGCTCGCCATAAATAAATAAAAACTAATAAAAATATACACACACATTAATGAAATTAAATTTTGAAATCGAACAAAAAAGGGGTGCAACACGAGGACTTCCCAGGGGGTCACACATCCTAGTACTACTCTCACCCAAGCACGCTTCACTGTTGAACTTTGATAGGATCCAGTGCATTAGTGCTGGCATGATCGCACCCGACAAACTCTCACCTCCATTTCCTTTTAAACCCATTCACACCCCATTCTATTGCCCTTGCCGACGCGTTCGCTTGCCATAAATAAATAGACTAATAAAAATATACACGCACATTACTGAAATTAAAAATCCGAAACTGGACAAAAAAGCGGTGGAACATGAGAACTTTCCAATGGGTCACCCATCCTAGTACTAATCTCGCCCAAGAACGTTTAACTAGGGATTTCGGAGGAATCCGGTACATTAGTGCTGGTATGATCGCACCCGATAAACTCTCGCTTCTATTTCCCTTTAAACCCATTCCTACCCCATTCTATTGCCCTTGTCGATGCGTTCACTCGCTATAAATAAATAAAATAATAAAAATATACACACACAATAATGAAATTAAAAATCTGATGCAGGACAAACAAGGGGTGCAACACGAGGACTTCCCAGGGGGTCACCTATCCAAGTACCACTCTCGCACAAGCGCGATTAACTGCGGAGTTGTGATGGGATCCGGTGCATTAGTGCTTGTATGATCGCCCTCGATAAACTCGAGCCTCCATTTCCTTTAAACCCATTCCCACCCCGTTCTATTGCCCTTGACGACACATTCACTCGCCGTAAATAAATAAACTAATAAAAATATACACACACATTAATGAAATTAAAATTTTCGAAACCGGACAAAAAAGTGGTGCAACACGAGGACTTCCCAAGGGGTCTCCCGTCCTAGTACTACTCTCGCCCAAGCACGCTTCACTGCGGAGTTCTGATGGGATCCGGTGCATTAGTGCTGCTATGATCGCCCTAGACAAACTCTCGCCTCCATTTCCCTTTAAACGCATTCCCACCCCATTCTATTGCCCTTCCCGATGCGATTGCTCGCCATAAATAAATAGACCAATAAAAATATACATACACATTAATGAAATTAAAAATCCGAAACCGGACAAAAAAGGGGTGCAACATGATGACTTCCCAGGGGGTCACCCATCATACTACTACTCTCGCACTAGTACTACTCTCGCACTAGCGCTTAACTACGGTGTTCTGATGGGATCCGGTGCATTAGTGCTGGTATGATCGCACCTTACAAACTCTCACCTCCGTTACCCTTTAAACCCATACCCACCCCTTTCTATTGCCCTTGCCGACGCGTTCCCTCGCCATAAATAAATAAACTAATAAAAATATACACACATTAATAAAACTAAAAATTTGAAATCGGACAAAAAAGGGGTGCAACACGAGGACTTCCCAGGGGGTTTACATCCTAGTACTACTCTCGCCCAAGCGCGCTTCACAGCGGAGTTCTAACAGGATCCAGTAAATTACTGCTGGTATGATCGCACCCGATAAGCTCTTGCCTCCATTTCCCTTTAAACCCATTCCCACCCCGTTTAATAGCCCTTGCTGACTCGTTCGCTCGCCATAAATAAATAAACTAATGAAAATATACACGTACATTAATGAAATTAAAAATAAAAAATCGGACAAAAAAAGTGGTGGAACACGAGGACTTCCCAGGGGGTCACCCATCGTAGTACTATTCTTGCCCAAGCGCGCTTAACTATGGAGTTCTGATGGGATCCGGAGCATTAGTGCTGGTACGATCGCACCCTACAAACTCTCACCTCCATTTCCCTTTAAACCCATTTGCACCTCGTTCTATTGCCCTTGCCAAAGCGTTCGCTCACCGGAAGTAAATAAACTAAAAAAAATATACTCACACATTAATGGAATTAAAAATCCAAAACCAAACAAAAAAAGGATGCAACATGAGGACTTCCCCGGGGCTCAGCCATCCTAATATAACACTTGCCCAAGCGCGCATAACTGCGGAGTTCTGATGGGATCCGGAGCATTTATGCTAGTACGATCGCACCCAACAAACTATCGCCTCCATTTCCCTTTAAACCCATTCCCTCCCCGTTCTGTTTCCCTTGCCGACGCGTTCGCTCGCCATAAATGAATAAACTAATAAACAAATACACACACATTAATGAAATTAAAAATCCGAAACCGGACAAAAAAAATGGTGCAACACGAGGACTTCCCAGGGGGTCGCCCACCCTAGTAGAACTCGCGCCCAAGCATGCTTAACTATAGAGTTCTGATGGGATCCGGTGCATTAGTGTTGGTATAATCAGACCCGACAAACTTTCACCTCCATTTCCCTTTTAAACCCATTCCCACCCCTTTCTTTTGCCCTTGCTGACACGTTCGCTTGCCATGAACAAATAAACAAATAAAAATATACAAATATATTAATGAAATTAAAAATCCGAAATCAGACAAAAAAGGGGTGCAACACGAGCAGTTCCAGGGGGTCACCCATCCTAGTACTACTCTCGCCCAAGCGTGCTTCACTATGGAGTTCTAATGGGAACCGGTGCATTAGTGCTGGTATGATCGCACCGGACAAACTCTCAACTCCATTTCTCTTTAAACCAATTCCCACCCCGTTCTATTGCCCTTGCCGACGCATTCGCTTGCCATTAATAAATGAACGAATAAAAATATACACAGACATTAATCAAATTAAAAATCCGAAACCGGAAAAAAAAAAAAAATGGGGGAACGACAGGAGGACTTCCCAGGGGTAACCCATCCTAGTACTACTTTCGCCCAAGCGCGCTTATCTGCGGAGTTCTAATGAGATTCGGTGCATTAGTGCGCATATGATCGTAACAGACAAATTCTCGCCTCCATTTCCCTTTAAATCCATTCCCACCTCGTTCTATTGCCCTTGCAGACACGTTCGCTAGCCATAAATAAATAAACTACTAAAAATATAAATACACATTAATGAAATAAAAAATTCAAAATCGGACAAAAACGGGTGCAACACGAGGACTTCCGATGGGGTCACCCATCCAAGTAGTATTCTCGCCCAAGCACGCATCACTACGGAGTTCTGATGGGATCTGGTGCATTAGTACGGGTATGATTGCACCCAACAAACTCTCACCTCCATTTCCCTTTAAACCCATTCCCACCCCATTTTATTACCCTTGCCAACGCGTTCGCACGCCATAAATAAATAAACTTATAAAGATATACACACACATTAATGAAACTAAAAATCCAAAATTGGAAAAAAAAAAAAAAAAGGGTGCAACATGAGGACATCCCAGGGGGTCACCCATCCTAGTATTACTCTCGCCGAAGCACACTTCACCGCGGAGTTCTGAATAGATGCGGTGCATTAGTGCTGGTATGATCGCAGCTGAAAAACTCTCGCTTCCATTTCCCTTTAAACCCATTCCCACCCCATTCTATTGCCCTTGCCGACACGTTCACTCGCCACAAATAAATAAACTAATAAAAATATACACTCACATTAATGAAATTAAAAATCCGAAACTGGACAAAAAAGGTGCGCAACATGAGGACTTCTCAGGGGGTCACCCATCCTAGTACTACTCTCGTCCTAGCATGCTTAACTGCGAAGTTTTGATGGGATACAGTGCATTAGTGCTGGTATGACCGTACCCAACAAACTCTTGCCTCCATTTCCCTGTAAACCCATTCCAACCCCGTTCTATTGCCCATGCCGACACGTTCGCTCGCTATTAAAAAATAAACTAATTAAAATATACGCACACTTTAATGAAATTAAAAATCCGAAACCAAACAAAAAAAGGGTGTAGCACGAGGACTTCCCAGGGGGTCACCCATCCTAGTACTACTCTCGCCCAAGCACGCTTCACTGCGGAGTTCTGAAGGGATCCGGTGCATTAGTGTTGGTATGATCGAACCCAACAAACTCTCACCTCCTTTTCCCTCTAAACCCATTCCCACCTGATAAGCGCTGAATACTGTATATTCAAGCGCCCTAAAGTACATTAACAAAGTCCACTAATTGATTATTTTATGTAGATTAACTCCACTTGCATGTTTTTATGCATTTTCAGGTTAAAGTGCAAAAATGAAGCAAAATAATGCCTTGTGGAATTTTGAACAAAAAGGATGCCATTTCTGAATTTCTGGCAACAGTGATCCTGACTTTTGTCGCCATTTTTGACCTAGCAAACTCAAGAACTGGACTTCCCTCACAACATAAAAGATTTAGAGCTCTTAATCAGCTTTCCAAATCTTCAAACGGTTTGTCATTTGGAGCTTGGAGCAGAGAGTTATGGCCTTGTTACCAGAGGTGCGCAGAACTGCCTGGCAGCAATGCAATTCTGCCTTGATCTTCATTTTCGACCAACCAGACTTGAGAATTGGGTCTTCATCAAAACATGAAATTTTTAAAGCACTGAATCGGCTCTCCAAATCTTCAAACAGGTCATCATTCGGAGTTCGGGGCACAAAGTTATAGCAGTTTTACCAAAATAGGTCAGCGCTGAGCAAGAGGAGCATGTTGCACATTGCACTAAGTTAGAGTGCTCGAGATCACTTTTCGAGTGCTCGAAAATCAGGCAGATTGCACTCGGAAATGGCTCAATTTCGGCCACTTGCACATTGGTTTCCTCAATGCCATCTTCCTTCTTTATGAAGTGGTTGGAGGTGTTCCTTGGAGGAGAGAGAGAGGGTGTTGTTGGAGAATAAAAAGCTACCAAAGGCCACACATTTGCTATCTTTGATTTTAGCAAGATTAGAGGAGAGAGAAGAGAGCAAGGAGGAGGGTGTTCTTGAGTGCTACAGTAGGAGCACGAAAATGGAGTCTTGGATGGAGCTTCTTCCTTCTTCTAGCTTAGCAATGGGTAACTAATTCTTTCTCTAGGGAGGTGATGAAGTCCCCTCCTTGTAAGCATGTCCTAGGATAGTCTATTTTGGGGATTTGCCATGTATATTTTATGGTCTTTTCATAACCAAGAGCACCTCATTTGTTGTAATGAATGTTGATACATGTATGGATGATTTCTTTAAGTTGATTATCTTGTCTTAGATGATGTCTTAGAGTAATCATATTGCTTGAGTTTTTCATGGTGAGAGTGGAAGCAAGGTTATGAAATGGTTTCATGGCATGTTGATAGGTGACTTTGATAGACCATTGCTTAGGAAATCCTTTGATGGTGTATGCTTAATCTCTAACTCCATGTGCTTTATCATTTTGTCAAAAACTTGATAGTCTCTCATTTAAGTAAATGTGTATAAGCTACACCTTAGTTAGGTAGTCTAAGCATGTTTATCTTTTGATGGATTATACTTGTTTGAGACCTAATGTACCTCTTGATTACTTATTTGGCAATCATGTGTTGCTATGTAAGTCTTGACCATCATATGTTGTTTTTCCCCCAATTTAGGTCTAATCTAGCATATGTATAGGGATGGAGGCGGATTCACTTCCCTAGTCTCCTCTTCTTAATCTTTTCATCCTAAATTCCTTGCAAATTAGTGTTTTATGCACTTTGAATTCCTAATTTAAGTGACAACAAACAAAACCTCTATGAACACCCCTTTATCAGCCTAAGAATGACTCTAAACACTTAGGTTGCCTTAGACTAGCGCAGTCCCAGTGGTTCGACTTACCCGACCAATAGCCCTATTTTACAATGATTCGTGCTATTGCGAAGAGGGTTGATTTATAATTGATTTCGACCGTCGATCAATTTTTGGTGCCGTTGCCGGGGATTTGCAAACGGTTTAGCAACCAAAGTTTAGGGTTAAATTTAGTTTGATTGTGCATACTGTGTCTTGTGAATATTCCTTGTGTGTTTTGATCATCTTCGTGTTGCAAGATTCTAGGGACTCGAAGCTCGCCGTGGGATTGCTAGCAAATTGTAAGTCTAGAGGACCCCAGGTAAGTCTCGTGACTTCTAGTTTCAAATTGTGAATATCGTGCATGTGTTAAGCCTAGAAGTAGATAAATTGCAAGCCCTTGTCGAGGCTATTTTAATTGTGTATTTTCAATTCCAAGCATCGGTCCTTGTCGTGGCCATTTATTTTCTGTCTTGATAATTGAGGAGAAAGGGAACATCGTATGTGGAGTTGATGATAAAGATTTGTTGTGATGATGTTGTTGTGAATTGTTGATGTTTGGCCGGAGGTCACTCTCTCTACCCACACTTGACTCGCCTATTGATATAAATTCACTTGAAAGAACTCTTAGACGGAACCTTAGGGAACCCACTCTTACAAGGGACCTTGAAACTGAATTCAATATAATGGGGGATAACGTAGGAAATCCGGGGAATGAAAGGGCTGAAATTCCTAATGTAGAACCAATGACTCTTAGAGATCATTTCATTCCTACCACCTATGCTTCTCCTTCTTGTATAGTGATGCCAAACATCGATGCAGCTCAATATAAGATCAAGTCTAGTACCATTCAAATGCTTCCATCATTTCATGGCTTTGATAATGCAGATCCATATAAGCATCTTGATGAGTTCCTTGAAATCTGTTCGACCATTCGGTTGAGAGGTTTTCCGGACAATGCACTTCATCTCCATCTTTTCCCATTCTCCCTGAAGGATAGGGCAAAATATTGGTTGAACTCCCTCGGTCCCAACTCTATTACTTCTTGGGCTCAATTGCAACAAGAATTTCTTAAGAAGTATTATCCGGTGAGTAAAACCAACCAAATGAGGCGTTCCATTCTAAGCTTTTCTCAAGTTGATGGAGAACAACTCCATGAGACTTGGGAAAGGCTACAAGATCTTCTTCGAAAATGTCCTCATCATTTGATCCCAAAATGGCAATTAGTGTAAGCTTTCATTGCTGGCTTGACCGAAACCCATAGATTCATGGTTGATTCTTCTTGTGGTGGGATGTTCATGTCCAAGAATGCAGATGAGGCTTGGACCTTACTTGAGAATTTGAGTGAAAATTCACTTCAACACAATTCTCGTAGGGCTCCAACCGCAACCACTCCAAACAACACCAACCCTTGTCAACCAAAGTCAATAAGGGAGGAATCATCTCAAGTGGATGCCATCGCTCATAAATTCTACCAATTGATGGCACCACATCTTCCCCCTTCATTGTCTCAAAATTTGGCAAGTTCAGTTTGTGCCTCATGTACTAGTCCATTCCATCTCTCGGAAGATTGCCCCACACCGAAGCAATTTCCCAATCCCAACCAAGAGCAAGCTAATGCCATGTTCTCGCGGACCGGGAACAATCCATATTCCAACACCTACAATCCGGGTTGGCGAGATCATCCGAATTTCTCGTGGCAGCAACAAGCCCCACAAAATTCCCAATTCCAAAACCAAGGGCGGCAAAATCAGACCTCTTCTCAATTTCAAGGTAGACCTTTCCAAGCCTCTTCAAGCTACCGTCCTCCTTACAATCCAAATGTCTCCAATCAACCTCCTGTGTGTCCAACTGACGAGATAGTAGCTGCAAATAAGCAAATGATGGAATCATTAAATAAGCAAATAATGGATGCCAACAAGCAACTCTTGACATCCTTGCAGCCTACTCTCCAAATGGTTCACTCTCATACTCAATCCATAGCTAATCTCGAAAATCAAGTGGGCTAAATAGCTAAATCGGTGAATAAATTGCTTCAAAAGGACAAGGGCAAGCTTCCCTCTTAACCTTTTGAAAATCCTAGAGGAATGCATGTGATTGACGAAACCCCTCCTCCGAGTGGGCCGACTCATGAACAAGTTCAAGCTATCACCACCCTTCGGAGTGGTAGAGTGGTTGACAACAAGGTCGATGGACACAAAAGTGAGGAAGTTTCTCCTTTGAAAAATCCAAATTCAAGCTCTTCTAATCCAAATTCTTGTCCAAATACCATTCACGGAAATCCCACACATGTCACCCCAAATGTGGAAACTACTTATGAGCCAAAAGTTCCGTTTCCTCAACGTCTTTAAGAGTCGACACATTTTGGGAACAAGAATTGTAAAATTCAAGACATGTGGGAAGTTTTCAAGCAAGTGAAGATTAACTTGCCCCTCTTGGATGCTATCAAGCAAATCCCTCCCTATGCGAAATTTCTCAAAGATTTGTGCACTCAAAAGCGCACTTCTAAAAATCATTTGCCAAAAAAAGTG